TGTTAATCCCCATCCAAAATTCCAAACACACGTGCTTTGATTAAGCCTTGATTAAAGTTTGCAGAGCTTCAGCCATTTGCCATAAAATAGCCAGAAATTTGTTACAAAACCACATAAATTATATATCACTGTAATCACAAAACTTCAATCTATCTCCGTATTGTAAGGGAACTTTAAATTATGTCTTTATTTTCGAGAAAATTTAGTCCAAACATAAGGAATATTTTGTTGATGTTTGACCATCAAAATCTTAAAAATAAAGAAGTTGTCTAAAAATGTGCTGCAATACGGATATAGTATGATCCTTTATCTTTAATTTCCTTCTTTATTTGTGTAAAAATACCTAGCCAGTTTTACATAAAACGTAAAATGCCGAACGCTTATTTTGCTACTTTATCAGACTAGTGAAATGGACTCTTGAATCCCAAGCGTTTCTCAATTCATACCGTGACTCCTTGTGTATTTAAAGTCAGAAAATCGACACAACCGAACGAAAATTAAGATAAACCTGTTAAGAAGGATTCCCTAAAGGCTTCTAAGCCCGCAGTTCTAACCTGTTCTCGACTTAGTCGCCGCGGCACGCATTTCTTCGGACATCATCAATCAAGCTGCCGACGCGCAAAGGCTCGACGATTGTAAATATCTTCGCCGGTACGACCCTAACCGTGTTCGAGGGACTCCGGCCTGCCCTCTAGCGTAAAAGGCCTTAACCTGAACCACGTTGACAGATTGCCTTATAATTCCTTAGAATTTTGAATATACAGGGTGTACAGGGGAATATACATACTTTATAAATCGTACAACATATGTATAATTTTTTTTCACATCTCAACGATGACAACGATAATTTAGACTTCCTAGCACTAATGGGCCACACTGTATACAGGTATACGAATTGTATTCTGGAAACTTCGGCAGCATGTTCTGCAGATAAAAATAATTAAAAAGTCCCTATAAATGTATGTTCTAAAATGCGTAGTTTCGGAGATACAGGGTGTACAAATTTCATTTTGATTTTGATTTTTTCCAAAGAATTTCTGAAGTAACGTCAATATTCGGATGAAAATTTGCATCTAGGAGTTTTTTGACATGAGAAATTTGATTTTGATATCAACATGACTCCTATTTGTAGAGGGCGCCACTGACATGTGTTTTAACTGTTTTGAAGGATAATAACATTTCGTCCATACCTGTATAAAATTACCAAGTGAAAAAATATATTTCCATGATTTTTTACGTAAAAAATAAATATTGGTATGGTTTGGTTTGGTTTGAAATGATAAATTTGGAAACTTTTTATTTTTTTAATTACTTAATCATACATTTTTCTTCCAAAAAATGATGATAAAATAGTTTCTATTGAACTTTTGGCATAAAAACATTTCAAATTTATGATTTCAGTCTAATAACTATTTAATCAACATGTTTAATTTATGTCAATGATGACAGGTATTGATGTATATTTGTATATTTTTACTTACTAGTTTTATACAGATACAGACGAAAAGTTATTACTCTCCAAACTAGTTAATATAAATATGTTAATAAAAAATATGTAGGTGGCGCCCTCTACAAGTAGGAGTCATATTGACATCAAAATCAAATTGCTCATGTCAAAAAAAGCCCAGACACCAATTTTCATCCAAATATTGACGTTACTTCAGAAATTATTTAAAAAAAATCGAAATAAAAATGAAACTTTTACAGTCTGTATCTCCAAAACTAAGCAATTTAGAACATACAGTTATACGAACCGGAATACAGTTCGGACCACTCTGTATACCTAATTGCTTCCTTTTGTTCTCACTCAGTATAAAACTTATAATTGAGAAACACTTGACGCTATTATTTTGAGTATTTTTCTCATGATATATCGATACTTTTGAACATCCCTAGAGGATGGCCCTGATTCAATTTTTTTGCACGATAGAATATAAATTATTGGTGAGGTAAGTCTGACAAAATGAATTGAAAAATTTTGGTTCGAATTTTCTATATAAAAATCGATACTTTGAAACATCCCTAGCACTAACCTATAACTTTATTAAGTCTCGGGCCGTAAATCGGCAGTTAAAACACTGCAAATGCGCCACGTCGAATTAACCGACGGTTAGTGCCACTAAATGTCGAGAATTAATCTCGATTAAATGGGAAATTATCTATTTACTAACGAGGAGTTAAAGTTAAAAGATTGAGTGAAAATACCACAACAGAGAGATAATTTTATACAGGGTCAAAAATGGCTACTTGGGATGTCCTAAACGCGGTAATAATAATAATAAATAACGCTTTATTGTACGAAAAGCCAAAATAGCTTCATCGACAAAGTATTTAGAAAACAAACAAAAGCACAAAAAACATATAAATAATAAAAAATATCATACAATTCAAAAAAATTTACGTCATTAAAATTACAAATAAAACATACCAGGCGCATCAATAATATTCTTGATATTCAAAGGCAGATGATTGTACATTTTTTTGGCATTGTACAGTATTGAGCGTTTAACTAGTTCTGAGCTAGGGGTTGGCAGATAAAGATCGTGCTCCGCATTCCTAAGTGGATAATTGTGAGATGGCCTTTCGGGAATAGCAGATATGTGCTTGCGGATTAAGCAAACGGATTCAAAAATGAAAAAAGAAGGAAGAGTCAGTATTTTGAATTTTTTAAAGAAATTCTGGCAGTGAGTTCTACTGTTCAGTCCCAATAAATATCAAACTGCTCTCTTTTGAAGTTTGAAAATACGATCAAATTTTGTTGCGAAGCAAGTACCCCAGAATGGAAGGGCATAACGAAGATGTGACTCAAAAAGGGCATAATAGGCTTTTCTAGAGGTTGATAAGTTAAGTTCCTTAGAAAATAATTACCGGTTATTTTTGTCAAATATGACCCTCTTCAAAAATCGGTAATTTCATCGTTTTAATTTACCGTTTACAGGTAGATAGAAAAGTTCAATCACAATCCCTCTAGGAGGTTCGAGATAGAGACTATATTTTAGTACTGATAGCTCCGTAGGCATTCAGCCTGTCTTTTCTACATTGCGATGACTCGAAACGGTACCCGAATCTATGGAAGCGTAAAGACAGCGATTTTTTCCCGTCCACCTTAACAATTCGGCCACAAATACCGCGGCGATTAATATATGTCGTCGTACGTAGTAAAGACCGTCCTAAACAATGGCATCGCTATCATAATTTATATAGAAAATGGAGAACGGTGGAATTAAGTCATTTAACTAACATAGAGCCCGTCCGGCAATTACAAGATTTCGTGGCTTTAATGAGACCCCTTTATCAGTGGTTCCATCTGCCCGTGTCCGTTTCTTTTGACATTTGTTTATTTATAACGCTTGTAGGCTGTTGGCGTTTTTTTTTTGGTAGGTGTGTGGGTGAATGAACAAAGAATACAATAAGCCCTGTGTATGTGTTCTAACTATACACTAGTGCCGGTTCTTCAATAGTAGTTGTACCATATGAGCGAAAAAAAACCGCGTCAGCGATGGCTATGAAATGAAGATCGCTGTCATTTTTTATGTAAAATTATATGGGAAATGTAATCGATCGTCATTTCCAAGCTAACTGGACGCCGCTTTTTTTTTCAATCAGACGATAGTATAATTTTCTTCAATAAAGACGATTATTATTATTATTAATTAGTTGTTCCAAAGGACACATACAAGAGTTCAAGTACACTAAAAGACACATACATAGTTGTTCCAAAAGACACATACAAGAGTACCCCCAGTATACAGTATACTACCCAATGCGGTGGTGCATGGCAATAAACAATATACAGGGTATCCCAGGCTGAAGTTTCTAGAGAACTAAAATATCTAGATCGAACATTTTTTGCACATCACTGTTTCCACAACGGGATCTACCGATTAAAAATATTTTCAATATAGCGGCATTTGATGGCGGCACGTGGCCAGATAAAGTTTTTACATGGCGTGACGTTTAAAGTCATAATAAATAATTTTTTGACAGGCAGTTTTTTTCCTCCAAAAATGTTAAATTTTTTTTCTCAAAAACAGTTAATATTAGGTATAGAGTGTTTAATATCAAAATTCATAAAATTTTACAGAGAATTTAACTGTGTAATAAAAAATGAGGATACCCATTTAAAACAAGAAAGTTGCTGTCAACTTCCGGTATTTCCGGAAGTGCCACCATATTGAAAATATTTTTAATCGATACATTTCGTTGTGAAACAATAATGTGCAAAAAATCTCCGATCTAGATATTATAGTTCTCTATAAACTTCTAATGCACGCTCAGCCTGGGACACCCTGTATATTATTTTTGTTTACCTTTTCAAGAGCTCTAATTTTCTCGGAAAGCATCTTAGGGTATACCCTCGGGTATACCTATGTTCATAGAAACTTTTTTTATTTTTATCTGTAAAATCACCCACTAAAGTTGGATACACTATTATTTGACATCCTATACAGGGTGAGTCTTCAATAAGTGCCAATATTTTTAGAGGTAGTATATTTCAATCCCCCAGAAACACGTTTATGAGTTTTTTTGCAAAAAAATGAAAATTGGAATTTTTTGAAACTTTTTTTTGGGATTTTTTTCTATCTTCATAATATGGCAACATATTTAGGTAGTAAATTAAATTTACAAAAAAAAAAACTCAAAAAAGATCCAGCTGTTCTCAAAATGTAAGCGAAAAATATATTTTTTTAAAATTTTCAAAGTAATTGGACTGATTTATTTGAAAAACGGTAAAGAGAAACTATGTTTCTTTATTGAGATCTACCAGCCGTGAAAATATTTGCACTTATTTAAGACTCGCCCTGTATATCACACAACAACTTAAACCATTGTTAAATTTTCATATCAAATAAAAAATTCAATGCAACAAGATAACTATCGAACAAACCAGGCAACTACATTGCATATTCGTCATTTTTTTTTCGTTTTTTTTAATCGTTTCAATGATTTACGTTTTGAACATGTGCGGCTGTGACAGGTACTGAACAACAGCCACCTTGCAAATTTTCCAAGCACCGGCGCATATAATGAGCCTCTTCCCGTACTCTGACAGAGTTTAATAAGAACTTAATAGTGCCAAATTAAAATAGTACCATAAATATCGACGGTACTAGTTGTATGGGGGTCATTTTGACGTCTCTATTAACATCTGTAACGTTATGGGGACGTTCGGTTGTATAGTTTGGAGTTTAGTATATTTTCTAGGTACGTACCACCAATTTTTTTTAATAATTTGTTAGTTATATATGTACAGGGTGGACCATTTTGGTTGTTTCTATAGGGTATCTAGGAAACCGTGAGAAATATTCAAATTTTGATACTGCAGTCTCGGGTTCTTTTTGAAAAAATTACAATGGCACAAACGGATCGTGGCTATCTTGATCGGTTTCGAAGCTACAGGGGGATTCTCAAACTTTGTACTTTTTGAAGATGTTCGATAGTTTGTTTATTTCAGCAACCACGGAAAAATGAATTATGCATTCTAAGGGCACTTTTCTGTGTAGAATGCAGTGGCGTAGTCAGACTTTTTTCGAAAAAAATATTTTTTGAGGTATTAACTATACTTATGTTTTTTTTTAAATAGAACCCCCTGTGTATTTCTAAATTCTCTTATTCAGCTTGGCATGGGCTTCTCGAAAATATATAACACTTCATATTTATTGTCACTATTAACCTCAACATTTCAAATTTTTCTTAAAATATCCACTTAGTAGATAGTAGGCCGCGCCGAGTAACAAAGTAAATGGTTGTCATGGTGATCGGAACATACCTTTGATGGATGCGGGACATTTCATTTCAACAGATTGAAGTGTGTGTATTTTAAATAATAAAAAAATGAGTAAATTTAAAAATTTGAGTAGTATAATATGTTAGAATGTTATATTGAATCTAACAAACATAAGCAAATGGCAGCTGATTTATATTTTGAGCGGTATCCAGAGCGCGATCAACAAAACCCAGCGATTTTTAAAAGGTTAGAAGATAGTTTAATGAATTTTGGATCTTTTCAAAAACCGCGTCCGAAAAATTATCAGAAAGAAGATGAAGAAAATCAATATATATTAAAACTAATATAGAATGTTAATTTACCTTTTTAAAAGTCTCTAATTATGCAGATAAATAATAATATAGAATATTAAATTGCGATAAAAAATAATTAGACAACTATGTCAACACAAAATCAAGGCACACTTCGATACAACGATGAAAAACCTAATATTTCTCTCATTCTTAGAAATAGATACCCATAACTTTATATCGTTCCATATGGTTAAACGTCAGCATTGTTGTAAGTTCATAGCCAACTATGATTTCCATTTAAAAAATTATATTTTTTATTATTTCTGACAAAAAGAGCAAGCATAGAAAAAACTCACTACGCCCACTGGATTGTGCTTAAAAAAGAACGTCTTTGCAGAATTTTATTATTCCGCGAATTAAAAAAGTTAAGAGCAATTTTCAAAATGGTAAAAAAATCAAAAAGTATCTCAGTTGGCAGTGAAAATATCAACAGGCGGTTTATGCTATTAAACGTGTCTCAGAAATCGAGCCCATGACATCTATGTCGGTTTTGTTCTATCTAGTCAGGAAATGGGTTTTCTCTGTTAAAACAGACCAATTCCGACCACCCTGTACAGGGTGATCAAAATTGGTACGACTGATATCGGAGATGGAGAACTAACCTCTGTAAAACCGTCTGAGATACTGGCTTTTTTCAAAGCCCTGAGACTGCATGATGGGTTATAACTCATCCTCCCATACGTTGCAGTAACTAGTTCTGAAAAAATATGAAATCGGATGGAAGAATATGAATTTTATAGTTCTAAAAATGTTTTTTGGTTTGTTTTCAGATACAACCATGAGTCAAGCACCTCCTGCATCTGCATCTCGTTCCTTTCACTGTGTTAATGATGTATCCCTATGCAAGGACGTTGTCATTGATCCAAGAGCTGGCGAAGCCAACACTCCATCAACAGTAAGTATCTATTTTTACACACACTTGTATCAATGAGTGATTAATAATCACTCATAGGGTGTCCGTTATTTACAAAGTTGATCATTACTCTCACTACGCCCTCTAAATTTCTAGTTCATAGTCTAAAAAAAATAACAGACCATTGTTAACCGTTAATATTCACAATAAACCTTGCCCCAAAGACGATCCATTTCGCCACTCTTTGCAAATATTTTTTTTCTCTCGATCTTGTTCTCTCGCAGCCATGATTTTCTGATGGTTTCTTAGTAAAAAGGTTTCTTAAAATTTTTCTATAAACATACTCCTTCAAAAGTTATTCACGGTTAAAGTTAACCACTCGGTAAATTCCTAAATTTTTCAACTTTTTTGACAAAATTATGATTATTTTTGAAAAGTTTAATCTATTATTTGAAACAAAAGCAATTTTCATGATACCATGATAAACAATTCTGAATCATGAAAAACAATTCACTGCAGGACAGACAGTTAATTATAATACATATTTTAGTATCAGACAGAAAATGGTTGAAGCTTTAAAAGTGAATAATGACAAAGAGTTCGATATTTCAAAACGCTTCATTTTAATCAGGATTATTTAAATGGTTTATAAACAAAATAATTGATTAGTTCATAAATTCAAGTTCCTTACAATTTTTTAAACGGTCTAATATTGATACAAGTTTTCTGCAGTTATCCAGTACGGACTGGTTAAAGGATACTGGATATATGAGAGGCTTAGAAATTGTGAAAAATTTCAGAGTAGTTAATGATACTGCAGAAAGAGCTGTTAAATTGTCAGAAAAATACATTAATGTTTTATCTAGAAGTGAAGATGAAAAACAATATGTGATTCAGATTGTAAGCGAGTATAAGAAGAAATATCAAAATCCAACTAAAGAATGTTTATTAAAATAAATCAGTTATAATTAAATGGTTTAAACTTTATTAGACTTGAAGATTTCTTAATTACCAACCTTAACACCATCAGTAATAGATTAAATTTTTCCAAAATAATTATAATTTTGTCAAAAAATTTGAAGAATTTTGAAATTTACCGAGTGGTTAATTTTAACCGTGAATAACTTTTGAAGGAGAAGGATTATCGAAAAATTGTAAGAAACCTTTTTTGTAGAGCGTTCAATTCTGTACAAGAATATGTGATTGTCATGGCTGCTAGAGAACAAGATCGAGAGAAAAAAAATATTTTCAAAAAGTGGCAAATTCCTGTCATTTAAATGGGAAATTAATCGTCTTTGGGGCAAGATTGAGGTGGCTCAAGATTGAACAAGTCGTTTAGGTTAGGTTCAAAAAACTTCTGTAATTAAATAACTAATTTAGACTTCATGGACAACACGCATCAACAAAAATCATAAAAATAACTGTACAATATCTAGCAACTGAAAGTGTTGACCCCTCAGACAGACTGTCCAGCTGGCTTCTTCAAATGCAACAGCGTCGTTTGTGGTGTTCCTTCAGTACAACCCTCGCCTGCCAATGGGTACGTCACTGCCAACTCTGCTCCATGGCAAGCGTACATCGCTAGTGATACCTATGGCTATATTGGGGGAGGGGTGCTGGTAAACCAATACAACGTTGTTACAGCTGCACACAAAGTGTCAAACATGTAAGTTCAGTTATTTTATGTCTGTCTCAGAACTCATTCCTCAGTCCCAGAACTCATCCCTGCGTCTTTCAGAACTCATCCGTTAGTCTCACATCTAGAGATGGGGACATTCCTGGAATCTTATTTTGAGGGAATGTTCCTGGGAACGTTCCCAGGAACGTTCCCCAAATCGGGATATTGATGGGAATGGAATTTTTTTTTATATTATGAAAAATTGGAAACTTTCCGGGAAGGTTCCCGGAAATATTCCCCAAAGCAGAAAAGAGATAAAGTTGAGAAATTTAGGTTATGTTTATAACCTAGTTTCTCTTCTTCTTTTTATTTGTGGCGTGACACAACTTTTCCAATGTTTTGATTACTTTCCCTAAATTTAAGAAAAGTTCCCGAAAAGTGGGGAATGTTCCGAGGAATATTCCCACTCGCATCAAAATACAACTTTCCCGAATTTCAGTCACTTTCCCGACCTTAGAGGAACGTTCCCGGAACATTCCCGGAACATGAGCACGTTCCCTGAGGCACGATCAGACCTGCACATCACTACTCACATCTCATCCCTATACATAAATTAGTAATTCCAAAATCTTCCAGGCACACTAACAAATTATTATCTATCTACAGGATGGTCCGAACTGTATTCCGAACTGTATTTTATATTATTTAAAAATGATATCAAATAATAAATAATAATAACCGTCTTCAAGATATTTAGAATGGAAATAGTCAATACATGTCATTATTGACAATAAATAAACATGTTGAATAGATAGTTATTTGACTGATATGATAAATTTGGAAACTTTTTTATTTTTTTAAATTAATCAAAAATTTTTCTTGGAAAAAATGATTTTTTTCGAAGTTTCTGTTGAACTTTTAGGATAAAATACCGGGTGTAGCAATTATAACGTCTTTTTTTAATAAAATTTATGACACCCTGTAGATCAGTTACAGTATCAAATTAAAATTGAAATCGCATTTTAGCCTTAACTTTTTTTACATTTTGTTTTTTTATTTACTCCATTATCTTCCTTATTACACGCGAAACAACATTTTATAGGATGACATCATTTAATATTGGTTTTAATTTACATTTTTCCATTTTACTCACTAAAGTAAGTAGCAGGCTATGGAAAAACACGGATTACCAGTAAATGTCAAATAGAGATGCTAGTTTCTGTGCAAACTTGTAGACCATTAGTATCTCTGAGCTGAGTTTGAAGGGTCCGAGCTGTTACGAAACGTTGTCTTAATGTTGAGAGTTTTAAAAAATGTTCCTGAATCGGATTGGTTCTTCGATTCCTGCCTTGTCCCGGCCTGCGACAATTACTCCCAGTATCTCTATACCGTTGTATAACTCGTGAAATGATTGAGTGAGTTACATTAAATCGTTCACTAATTCTTCGGTAGCTCCAACCTTCCTCAAACAATATTAACGTTTGAGCACATTCTTCGCCAGTAAGATTTCTTGTTTCACGTACACGTTGCATATTTTCGATATAATAAAAGGACGAAAACGACTGACACTGACAACAAGCATCTCTATTTGACATTTACTGGTAATCCGTGTTTTTCCATAGCCTGCTACTTACTTTGGTGAGTAAAATGGAAAAATGTTAATTAAAACCAATATTAAATCATGTCATCCTATAAAATGTTGTTTCTCGTGTAATAAGGAAGATAATGGAGTAAATAAAAAAAAACAAAATGTAAAAAAAAGTTTAGGCTAAAATGTGATTTCAATTTTAACTTGATACTGTAACTGATCAACTCTACAGAGTGTCACAAATTTTATTAAAAAAACACGTTATAATTGCTACACCCGGTATTAGTATAAAAAGGGTTCCTATCAAAATACAGTTAGTATAGCAGCATTGTGGAAAGAATAACCTATCATTCAAAAAAAAATCGTCCAAATAGGATAAGTGGTTTTGACAAAAACTTAACTTAAGCTTTTTGTTATTTTTTTGTGGTGCGTTAATTTATTGGGGAAGTGTATTTACAACATGTTTAATTTATGTCAATGATCGGTTCCAAATATCTCGAGAACCATTACTCGTCGCAATCTTCACCAAGAGTCCTTTTTTACGTGAAAAACGTCGTAAATGTATTATTATTTTACTCAGTAGTTTTATACAGGTACGGACGAAAAGTTATTACTCTTCAAACCAGTTAAAAAATATGTAGGTGGCGCCCTCTACAAGCAGGAGTCATATATTGATACCAAAATCAAATTTCTCATGTCAAAAAATTCCCAGACACCAATTTTCATCCAAATATTGAGGTTACTTCAGAAATTATTTGGAAAAAATCGAAATAAAAATGAAACTTCTACACCCTGTATCACCGAAACTAAGCATTTTAGGACATACATTTATACGAACTTTTTTATTTATTTTTATCTGCAGAATATACTGCCGAAGTCTCCGGAATACAGTTCGGACCACCCTGTATATTAAAAAACAGAAATAATAAATTAAAGTTTTCACACCTTGCGGCCACATACTTTTAAGTATTGGCATTTCCCCATATATTTACTGATAGAAATAACTGAGTGAACAACAACCTTGAATGATATCAACTCACTTTATGCAAACCAGAAAATTTCAAATTTTTACATTCCAGAACTAACAAACCACCAGTTAGTATTAAAGTATCACTGGGGATGTACACTACAGCATCAACGCAGAACGTACAAGTAGTGCAAGTGAGCCAGATATGGCAAAACAGCGGGTACAACGCTCAATACCTGAAGAATGACGTCGCCATCCTTAGACTGGCTACACCAATCAACTTTTCGGCGAATATCAGACCAATATGTCTACCAACTGCTGGAAAAAGCTACGTCACTGATTCCACGTAAGTTTTTAACAGTGCCACACTTTTTGACAGTGTCATTACATAAATCATAAACACTATTTCATAGGTCTATTGACTGGGACCAAGAGTCCCAAAATTTGGTTTTAATTAGTGATGGGAATAATCGAATTATTTTCACCATCGAATAATTAGTAATAATTCATATTTCACAATCGAATTAATAATTCGAATTATTTAGTAGAATTGTAAATTTAACCTAAAAATAAATTCGTCCCAGCTAGTGCTCGTCTAGGGGCTATTTTAAACAAATCTGAATCATTGCCATACCTATATTCTATCACTGAATAAAGAATAAAAAAAATATTCTCTATTCAATGTATTCTATTAACTGTGCCGAAGCCGTTTAATAAATTAAACCATTATTTCAAGTTTTAAATTTAAAAGTGCCGAGTTTATGATTGTTATTGTTATGGCCTTTTATAAACATTTCAATTCCTATTGAAAACCTCCCCTCTAAAATTTCTTCTAAAACAATATAAGTATGTCCTTGTTTTCGTGCAGTTCGCATTTCTTTTTATTTTATCAGTGAGATGGAAATGAACCAAATAATAGTAGTATTCTTTCGTTCTGAACGAAATGAAAATTTTCACTTAAACTGATTTATTCCTACGTGGTATAGGAAATAACAATGATTTCTGAATTTTTCTATATCGGATCGTCCCTTTCTTTGTCGATTCCCTTTATAAATCAGTTTAAGTGAAAATTTTCAGTTCGTTCAGAACGAAAGAATACTACTAATCGCACTAATAGTACTAATTACTAATAATTCGTCCATAAGAGGTTATGTTTTATGTTCATTTGTAATTCGGTTACCACAGATATAATATAAAATACTACTAATTTTTATCTCGATTATATCGAAAAAGATAATCGAATTAGTTAGTTTTAATTTACTATCGTAGTGTTTTCTTCAAAAAAGAATATCTCCAAAAAAATTAATCTATTCAGATAAGCCAAGAAATAGACTATTGAGAAAAGATCTTGTTTTCCCTCGTATAATTGACATTTTTTTAAAAATTCGCTCAAAAGATAAAGTCTGCCTTGAAAATCCAATTGATACTTTATATGACAGCAAGTTAATTTTTGTTTACTTTATTAAGTGTCAAATCTGGACACAAAAATTTATAGTAGATAGTGTATTAACAGTCAACAATACGTTCACAAGTGAGGAAACACTAGATATGTATGATGTTTACTTAAAAAATAATAGAAATTCCGATATGGCGTGCGCAAATTATAGAACATTGTATCCTGAGAGGACATAGCCTCATCATATTATTTTCGCAAAGATTTCAAGAAATTTAGCAGTTGCTGGCAGCTTTAAAAAACAAGAGGGCAATATTTTAAAAGGCTTAATGATATTAGCTCAGATTGAAATAATATAATAAAAAATAAATAAATAAATACAAAAAAAATAGAAAAATAAATATAAAAATAAATACAAACTTAAAAAAGTACAGTGGCTCTTTCTATAGCCTACACAGCAGTATACAGTAGCTCTTTTTATAACCTATATATCTTCCCTTCTCAGAAAGAGCAGAAACAACTGACATTCAACCCTTTCAAAATTTTAAAAGGTCGGTTGTGTCAACATTTAATATACAAAGTTATAGAAATAATAAATTAAAAATATACAGCGTTTCTCAAACAAGTCTCACATTCTTGAAAGTACCCTGTATAAAAATTACAGTACCAACTGTCTGGTGACCGGTTGGGGCCAAACCAACTTCAACGTAATAGATGCTCCCACAAGAACCCTAAAACAAGCCTATGTTCCTATAGTTTCCAATGACAAATGCACAGCATCGTACACCCAGGTGTTGGGTGCTGCCTACACTGCAGCCTATCTGGATTTTCCTGGAGAACTATGTGCCGGAGGCCAAGCACAAATTGACGCTTGCACAGTAAGCATTTTTTTATTATATGATCGAAAAAAAAACGCCGTCAAAGACAGCTGGCGAATGAAAATCAATGGTAATTTTGGCGGTGTCAATCTCTAGACCGTTCCTTACTAAAGATTGATATAAAACTTCTTCTAAGGGTTCATTTCACTAGTCCGAAAAAGTAGCAAAATAAGTGTTCGACATTTAACGTTTTATGTATAACTGGCTAGGTATTTTTACACAAATGAAGAAGGAAATTAAAGATAAAGGATTATACTATATCTGTATTGTAGCACATTTTTAGACAACTTCTTTATTTTTAAGATTTTGATGGTCAAACATCAACAAAATATTCCTGTTTGGACTAAATTTTCTCAAAAATAAAGACATAATTTAAAATTCCGTTACAATACTGAAATAGATTGAAGTTTTGTGATTACAGTGATGCATAATTTATATGGTTTTGTAACAAATTACTCGCTATTTTATGGCAAATGCTGAAGCTCTGCAAACCTTAATCAACTTAAGCACGTGTGTTTGGAATTTTGGGTGTGGCATCTAGGGCTTGACCTCGCCAAAATTATTATCGATCGTCATTCCCCAGCCATCTTTGACGCCATTTTTTTCGATCATACGGTACTTATATATTTTTTCCAGCAAGATGGCGGATCTCCATTGGTTTGTAGAGACGGTACCAGTTTTGCGCTAGTCGGATTAGTACTATGGGGCAAGAATTGCGGTGTTGCAGGTAGGTACGGCGTTTACCTCAATGTACCACAATACTCGTCATGGATATATTCCACCATAGGGTGCCTTTCAACTGGTAGTACCACATGTAACGGTGCTACTAAGATTTTGTAAGAAATATAATAAAGAATAACATATTTTATTATTTGTTTTTATTCTCTCTCTGTAGAATAGCGTTATTACAACTAACTTTCTTTTAAATATACAGGGTGATTCACGGCCATGCCACGTTAGTTATTTTATATCAATACTAGCGTGTACCCGCGACTTCGTTCGCCTCGAATTAATCATTTGTAATGGTGATGATAAAGCAAAGCAAGAATTTCCATTAACATACAAACTGGATAAAATTTTCTCACATTTACGTCAGCATGAGAAAAAGCAATATAGCGATATTATTATATACTTTATTTGAGGGGTAGTTTCATCTCGTTGGAATTTGACTTTCGAAAAATCCGTTTGCCAAAAATATGCTTTTTACGTCAAGCAGTTTAAACAGAATCGTGGTTAATCAATTGCCCAACTTTTTGGAACACCCTGTATGATTTTTTAAAAAATTTCAAAATGTGTAAAAAAACAAAATAAATTATGCGTACCCAAGCGTTTTCCCGAAAGACTAACCGTTTTTTAAATAACAAATACTGTAATATTTGAGGGACGTTTTCACCCTCTTGGAATTTGAGATTTGAGAAACCCCTCCTTATCGAACCTCTACACCCCACAGTCAATCCGTTTGCCAAAAATCAGCTTTAAACGTCAAGCAGTTTAAACAGAATCGTGATTACTCAATAGTCATATTTTATGAAACACCCTGTATAAATTTTTAAAAAATCTTAAAATTTGTAAAACAACAAAATAAAATATACGTGATTAAGAGTTTTTCCGAAAAACTCACCGGTTTTTAAATAAAAAATATTCTAATATTTGAGGGGTGGTTTGACCCCCTTAGGATTTGAATTTCAAAAAATCCCTTCTTGTCGAACCTCTACACCCTAAAGTCAATCCGTTTTCCAAAAATCAGCTTTTTACGTCAAGCGCTTTAAGCAGGATCGTGATTAATCAATGACTAGATTTTTCGAAACACTCTGTATACTTTTTTAAAAATCTTAAAATATGTAAAAAATAAAATAAAATATACCTGTTTACGCGTTTTTTCGGAAACTTGACCGTTTTTTAAATAAAAAATATTGTAATATTTGAGGGGTGGTTTCACCCCCTTGGAACTGGAATTTCGAAAAAACTTAATAACCGTATAACGCTATTTAAGTACCTTTTCAATTCAGATTTAAGTGCCCCACAATAGCCCTTTTTATACCCTATTTACCTCCCCCTTCTCATGGGACCAATATACCGGACGACACAAAATGAAAGCACAATAAAAAGTGTATTATTTTTCGTGACATTCGATAGGGCCGGGTACAGTACAAAGGGCCTTAAAGATTGAGAGGCGTGGCGGTACTTTCGGTACCTTAAAATGATAGAGGATGATTTTGCGAAGGGATACGGGTAAGGTTACGGCTATGAGTACCGGAAATTGGACTATAGTGCGATTTTTTTTTTGTTTTTTTAGGTGTAGATTAATATCTTGGCGTAGATTAATATGTTGAAAAAAAAATGCAAAATGTTAATAAGCCTAGTATCAGTTAATATGCCTAGATCAAGCCTAGTATAAAAGACACTGAATTAAAAAAAATCACAATTTTATACCAAAAAAAATTCCTAAACCAGTTAATTTACTTAAAAAACATCAAATTATAATAAATTTATTATATACCTATAATAATGTAATTTGATTATAACAATTATGACCTTGGCAATTATCGTGAAAAAATACTGGTCACTGTCACATGTCTATTTACTATAGATAATAAAATAACAAAGCGTACCTACTGCAAATTCTTTTTGAATGTTATACAGGGTGAGTATTAAATAAGTGCAAATATTTTCTGGGCTGGTAGATCTCGATAAAAGAAACAATAATATATTCTCTTTACCATTTTTCAGATAAGTCCAAAATAACCGAATTATTTACGTTTGAAAATTTTAAAAAAATTGATTTCTTTTTGAAAAAATTTTGACAGCCACCGGATTTTTTCTGTAATTGCATCACTTTTAGTACCGTAACCATAGCGTAAAGCCTATGGTAATATCAGAGATTAAGAAACTATATTTTGAAAATTTTTGCGGTGAACACGTGAACAGGCAATTCTAAAGTTTTCGAAAAATATACAGACTTAAGACTCACCATGTATATGTCACTGGTAAAATAAACTGATTTAGATAATGCGCGTTGCTTATACCGTAAGCTTGAAAAAAAAACGGCTGGGGAATGACGACAGTATCGACGATAATTTTGGCAAGGTCAAGCTCTAGGGTCTAGTCGTCATTACCTGGCCCGTACTCGTATTTTTTAATGTCGCATACTGCCAGTTGACTTTAAGAAGGTGTAATATATTAAGTAATTTTCAGTAAATGGCGTCTAGGGCTTGACCTCCCTAAAACTATCATCGATTTTCATTCCCCAGTCATCTTTGACGCCGTTTTTTTTCATACGGTATAGTATGGTAAAATTGATCAAAATATATTATCGTAAAAAACTGTTTGATAATTAGATTAGTAATATTCAATTTTTTTTTATATTCAAGTTCACAAAAGGTATTTTTGGTAAAATTAATTTCTTTTGAGGAACCCAGAGATTTTTATTTAATATTAATAAGAAAGAAATCAGGAACACCATCCAAAAAGTGGCAAGTGATAGGGCGGAAGACCGCGGTTCGGAACCCAAAAAAGAGAGTTTAATTTAAGATACCATACGATCGAAAAAAAACAGCGTCAGAGATGGCTTGGAAATGAAGATCGTCAAGAAAATGTCATCGATCGTGCTTTCCAAGCCAAATGGACGCCTTTTTTTCGATCATACGGTACAAAAACTCGTTTTAGATCAAATATATTTTACAAAGGTATAATTAGACAGTGTCACAGAAAAATGCGTGACATTGTATCATCAAAAAGATTTAAAATTCAGTGATAATATAATAAAAATCAACAAGATCAGAAAGTAGTATTTTGCATTATTTGGCTAACATTTGGGGTCAAAGATATAACATACACGGTTATAAAAATATCAAAAAAAGGGAAACTTACGCGGGAAAAACTATATTAGGAAAAGAAAATACTAACTTACCAGTTAAGTGGTTCCCGGTGAACTCGAAGTCGTCATCCTGGTCCCAGTGTTTTAGAGAAAGATTAGACAGTGGCGTGGCATTGGCAAACTCTAGATTCGCGAAATGCCAGTCCAGAATCTGTCGATCCTTCGATGATAGGTAGACGTCACTATAAAATAAATCCCAAAACTTTGTCAGACAAAAATATTTATTTTTTTAATGATGCTTTTGATTACTAAGGATGTCTAAGATAGTGCCACGTGATTTCTCACAAACTATAGATGTTTTTTTTATTTTTTCTATCATTATAATTATAAGTCGCCATTTTTTTTTGGAGCTTAAGACATAATATACCTATAAATTTTCATTTTTAAGGAAAAAAAACAACATGCATATTTATTAGGTATTGTAAAAAAAGGTTGAGAAAAAATAAAAGACTTTTTGAACTTAAAATAGGTATTTTATTAAAATAAAAAACGAATTTTCAACAATAAATAACAAAATTTATTAATAAACATAACAATGTTGCTTGGGCATAAATATATTGGCAAAATTTTACAGAGCCAAATCCAAGCATGCAAAATTTAAAAATTCTAAAAATTCAGAACAATATTACATGAAATCTACAAAAAAGTATAAATTTAAAAAAAAACTAAATCACAAAAAAATTAAAAAATTGTCATTTCATTGACATATCTACATATATACAGTGCGATTTTATATAAACTAAAATATATATTGTACCAATCAAAACTGTTCTAATTTTTTGCCTATGTAGAAGTATCTAAATAATAATTAAAAAACATATACAGAAGCAGAAAGCAAAAAATTAGAATAATTTAAAATGGTAAAATTTGTTTGATGCATTGCTTTGATATATTTATTTGGTTAAACTAACTTAAGTATTTTCCATAGTTCCATAACAGATATTTTTCTAAAGAAAAATAAACTACATAAAAATGTTTTGGATATAACAAAAATACTATACAGATTATGTACACCTTTTTTTTAAAATATAGTCCTTATTTGAATAACAATAAGAGCTATTTTCCAACAATATGAAGTATATACTGTATTAATTCAGAATCATTTTTATCAAAAACATTTTTTACAAAAAATTAAAGTAATACTTGAGATTATCCTCAAATAATTTTACAAAAATATGTTTAAAATCACACTTAAAAAAATATATAAAAAAATAAAATTTTTGAAAGAAAAGTTTGAAATACAAACTAATATTATATAGTTAGAAGCTCAGAACCCTACTATTAGTACCTACTAGTTAGAATAAGAATTCAGTACCAAATTTCAGGTACCTACTAGTTAGGAAGATTAGGTTATAGGTTAGGTTAGTTTAAAATTATTTTTTTATTTTTTTTGTATAATTTAAATATTTGAACTTTTGCAAAAAAAAATTGCAAAATGGTCCTTATGCGGAGGAACTTAAGAGCCATTTTACAACAACGAGAAGAGTACATAATATTGTAAAAAAATTTTGATGTTTTAAATCAAATGCAATTCCTTCAAATTTCTTTTACATATACACTTAAATCAAAGTGTACAGAAAATGATACATTAAAAATACCTGAAAATACAAAAATACAATGAAAATTATATATTTATTGTATTAAAAATACAATATAATATATTTTACAAAAAAAAAGAAGAAATCCAACGATGAATGGGTCCTGTGAGGCATCCAAATTGTTTGAAGATATTTTGAACGATGTTTATGTACTGTGAGCGTCATCTTATGTTATATATTACGTTTCTATATATATAAAAAATAAAATATATATTTCTAAGTCAAAATAAAAAAACTTAAATTATTTTTTACCTTAACATAGAGACGACACTGGCTGTTATCCAGACAGAAAATGACAGTTCTATAACGTGAAATGTCAAATGGAGTATTTGTCAAGTTGAGTGTGATCCTAGAAAAAAAAACGAAAAAATAAAATAAAAAAACGCTCAAAACAAACAAGCTAACTAAACTACCTTGACAAATGTTGTCCTCAAAGCTTGACAATTTTTGAAGGAAATCTTGAGTGCCGAAGATTTGAAAGTTTCTATAAGCAGACGTGAACGAAAGATGATTATTCTGAAACAAAAAAAAGTTTTCTTAAATTATTTTTAAGAAAACACAAGTGGCCTTGCACGCATAAAAACAAAACTACCATTCATCAATAACTACTAAAGTCTGCCCAACGAATCTGGAAATATTTCGACAGACATCCAAAAAACTGACAGAAAATACAATTTACCTGTGAATTAAAATGACAGACACAACTGTCACTGTCATGTATCCTATCGTTGGACAGTCTTAACCTAAAACTACATATTTACACCAAATACCTTGTTATATTTTTGGATTAAAACGTTAACTCTGGAATAAGGACAGAATTTGGAATATTTTGGACATCTACAATAGGGCACCAACAATCTACATGCAGCAGGCAAATTTGTGGAAACTCGACGAACTGGATGGCTTTCTTGACAAAAATCGATGAACTCCTAAATAATTAAAATAAATAAATATTATGTATATTCCTGTTATTATTCACTCTTATCTTAAATCAAAATTTTAATTTAATTAAGTTATGGACATCCTGTAGATGAGATGGCTTCTTTCTCCCTACTCCAATCTCCATTGCTATTGGGCAAACTCCTCATAATACGTGGATAGCCTTCTTCGCCACTTTTCCTGCGTGGTATCCACACTTTGCCACGCAAACGCAGAACGACGACACACCACGATCGCCTGAAGCTAGCCTACGGAACACTAATCTCGATCGACGTGGATAGCCCTTCTTCGCCACTTTTCCTGCGTGGTATCCACACTTTGTCGGGCTACGCGATGTCACACGAACGCGGAACGACGACACACCACGATGCTACAGACCACGATCGCCTGGAGATAGCCTACGGAACACTAATCTCGATCGACGTGGATAGCCCCTCTTCGCCACTCTTCCTGCGTGGTATCCACACTTTGTCGGGCTACGCGATGTCACACGAACGCGGAACGACGACACACCACGATGCTACAGACCACGATCGCCTGGAGATAGCCTACGAAACACTAATCTCGATCGACGTGGATAGCCCTTCTTCGCCACTTTTCCTGCGTGGTATCCACACTTTGTCGGGCTACGCGATGTCACACGAACGCGGAACGACGACACACCACGATGCTACAGACCACGATCGCCTGGAGATAGCCTACGAAACACTAATCTCGATCGACGTGGATAGCCCTTCTTCGCCACTTTTCCTGCGTGGTATCCACACTTTGTCGGGCTACGCGATGTCACACGAACGCGGAACGACGACACACCACGATGCTACAGACCACGATCGCCTGGAGATAGCCTACGAAACACTAATCTCGATCGACGTGGATAGCCCTTCTTCGCCACTTTTCCTGCGTGGTATCCACACTTTGTCGGGCTACGCGATGTCACACGAACGCGGAACGACGACACACCACGATGCTACAGACCACGATCGCCTGGAGATAGCCTACGGAACACTAATCTCGATCGACGTGGATAGCCCTTCTTCGCCACTTTTCCTGCGTGGTATCCACACTTTGTCGGGCTACGCGATGTCACACGAACGCGGAACGACGACACACCACGATGCTACAGACCTCGATCGCCTGGAGATAGCCTACGAAACACTAATCTCGATCGACGTGGATAGCCCTTCGCCACTTTTCCTGCGTGGTATCCACACTTTGTCGGGCTACGCGATGTCACACGAACGCGGAACGACGACACACCACGATGCTACAGACCACGATCGCCTGGAGCTAGCCTACGGAACACTAATCTCGATCGACGTGGATAGCCCCTCTTCGCCACTTTTCCTGCGTGGTATCCACACTTTGTCGGGCTACGCGATGTCACACGAACGCGGAACGACGACACACCACGATGCTACAGACCACGATCGCCTGGAGCTAGCCTACGGAACACTAATCTCGATCGACGTGGATAGCCCCTCTTCGCCACTTTTCCTGCGTGGTATCCACACTTTGTCGGGCTACGCGATGTCACACGAACGCGGAACGACGACACACCACGATGCTACAGACCACGATCGCCTGGAGCTAGCCTACGGAACACTAATCTCGATCGACGTGGATAGCCCTTCTTCGCCACTTTTCCTGCGTGGTATCCACACTTTGTCGGGCTACGCGATGTCACACGAACGCGGAACGACGACACACCACGATGCTACAGACCACGATCGCCTGGAGCTAGCCTACGGAACACTAATCTCGATCGACGTGGATAGCCCCTCTTCGCCACTTTTCCTGCGTGGTATCCACACTTTGTCGGGCTACGCGATGTCACACGAACGCGGAACGACGACACCACGATGCTACAGACCACGATCGCCTGGAGCTAGCCTACGGAACACTAATCTCGATCGACGTAGATAGCCCCTCTTCGCCACTTTTCCTGCGTGGTATCCACACTTTGTCGGGCTACGCGATGTCACACGAACGCAGAACGACGACACCACGATGCTGCAGACCACGATCGCCTGGAGCTACTGACAAGACCAGACACTCTTCATTTCTTCTGCAGGATAGGCTTCCTCTAAATATTCACCACTCGACAGCAATGTGTTAAAATGACCTGATAATCATGTGATGTGTATTTGTACCTAATACCGATATACCGACCCGACCTATCAGGATGATACCTAATATAAATATTCAACCGCGTCGCGTAATCTTAACGTACTCTAGATGCCACCCCGGCAGGCTATGCCACCATGCCGTAGTCCCTAGCATTCCGTACCGATCTAATAAAATGGCATCATTACTAATAATATGCAATAAACGCCAAGTAACCGCGTCGCGTCATCTTATCGTACTCTAGATGCCACCCCGGCAGGCTATTCCAGCATGCCGTAGTCCCTAGTATTCCGTACCGATCTAATAAGATGGCATCATTACTAATATGCAATAAACGCCAAGTAACCGCGTCGCGTCATCTTATCGTACTCTAGATGCCACCCCGGCAGGCTATGCCGCCATGCCGTAGTCCCTAGCATCCCGTAACGACCTAATAAAATGGAATCATCACTAATAATATGCAATAAACGCCTAGTAACCGCGTCGCATCATCTTATCGTACTCTAGATGCCACCCCG